AAAAAAATAAGCATCATGAAATGTATCGCTGAAAACAGAAAAATTGTCATTCGTCCTGTTACGAGCGTTTGGATAAAGAAAATTCTGAATCTTTATAGAAAATTAAACCCCTGTGTTCAGCTAACCAACGCGCTCCAACGTCTCTATAATGAGCAGCAGAGAACCGTATGCTGCGCCACGCTATTACTTGGTTCATACACAGGCCAAGAGGAATGGAAGTTGGAAAGACACAAGGGAATATCAATTGGAGTTGATATTCTTTGGAAAGACGGTAAACGTTTACTAATAAAAATCTTTAATAATAGCCAGTCCTTGTATAGGAAATAACGATAATATTACCGACAATTATAATAATAATAATAACAATAATAACAACGCAGGCTCACAACTTCAATGACAGCTACAAATGTGGCGAAGATCCAGATCAGGTTGTTTCTCAAGGAAAGCCAGCAACTGGAAACGAGTATATAAAAAAGATTAAATTCTAGAAAATAATCTTCAGAGCACAACACAAATCAAACACAACAGCATAATAAAACAAGGAAACTCCAAGTGAAAACAAATAGAGTGATAAAGGAAAACTGGGAAGAGATCTTAACAACAGCAACGGGTCGTGAAATGCTGATTATTTAAATGAAAAGAGAGAGAGAATGAGAGAGAAGGAAGAGGAAGAAGAGAGAAGAAACTGCAGTTATATTATTCGCTGTTTCTCATACTATGTTTCACTGATATAGCTTTTCATTCCATCTTTTCCAGCAGTGATGCTCATTGAAATGCTGACCATGATGATGGGCAAACCTAAACATTAATAGAATGAAGTTAGTGCAACTCGAGAATTCAAACGTCCAATTTTCAGGCGATTTCGATTCAGCAGCTTACAATAATTTACAACAAGTGAAATAACAATACCCCATGATATGAAATGATACATATGCATCTTGGTGCTCATGTTATAAACTTTCACAACAAATAGGAAGAAATAAATTTCCTCCACCAGCATCCAACAGAAAGCTGCCATCAGGAAATATTGCAAGAAAGCTGCTATTAGGACACAGAGAGCCTGCGAAAGAGAAAAAAAAGTTTTTGTAGGTTTTTCATATTATTTTCAAAAGAGAATCTGTTCGGCCCCTAAAAAGCAAATAAATCATAAATAGATAAATACAACACTTACGGTATTCTCTGTAGCGTTTATGCCGGCGAGAAAGACTATTTGTCCAGCTCCGAGGGACAAAGAAAGACTCAGTCGTATTTGAGTCAGAGGTTGCCATACGTCTCTAGTGAAACAAGCAAGCAATAAAAAAAAAACCGATAAACAAACAAAAAAAAACGCAAAAACTCAAAGACGAGACAGAACCAAAAACAAAACGAAGCAATATTTAACAAGGTATTCTATTAATTTTGTACTGTACTACTTTAGACATCCTACCGGCTTTCGCTCATAAATTTAATTGATCTCTATGACATTTTAATCATCTTAATTCGTTATTATTTTATTTGTTCAATAAACTTTTGAATTTCATCGATATTTTTTTAAAGAACTTGTCTGTTCTAAGCCCCAAATCATTCAAGGTCACGCAAAGACTTGGTTCTTTGAGTGTATGGTTACAGTACTTACGTGAGGTAGGAATATAGAATAATTGTCAAAAGAATTGCGAGGATGGAAAGGCACAATCCCACGTGGGTGATAATTTCATGAATAGTTTCGTCTTCCAAATTGAGCTGCGAAGAGAAATGGATAATCAGCGGATTCGTTACTTAATCCAATGAAATTTTATTACTAATACTAAATGTAAGGTGAAAATCAATTCAATACCCCTGGGATACCGTTGTAGTCAAGTAAGACAGCAAAATTAGTCAGATGATTGCAGCTGCAAACTGTTTCTTCTGAATTGCTTTTCGATGTAACCAAATGGCATCCTGTCTCTGAAAATCCGCCTGAGCTGAAAATAATGAGATAATAATCAAAATAATAATCATAATCATAATAATAATCATAATCATAATAATAATCAAAATATAAATTGAAACTACCCCGAAAATTCATCAGGGCACCGATGGGTTTATTTTCTGTCTTCCTTGCGCTGAGTTCATAACCTTTACACATCGTCGAGTACTTTCGAATTTGACGTTTGTCGACATCTTCTCCTTGCCACCCATGGATCCGCCTTTGAGTGATCACAGTCAGCATTCCAAACTGAGTAAAATGGATGCTGGTGACATTGATATTCAGGCTATGCACAATTCTTAAATAGACTCGTAAAACATTGATACAACCTAGCTTAGGTAAAAAAGCAAACAAGAAAACAAGCAAGGCTGGAAACACACTGAAACAAACAAACACGATAATACAACCAAACAAATCAATGAACATATAACAATAATAAATTGAAGGAATCTATAAGCAATGGATATATATATATATATATATAGCCATGGAAAGAGAAAATAAAAATAGCAACAACAAAACCTTCCAAAAAAGGTAACATATAACAATTCAATACCTTCAATTTAAAAAGAAACAGATTGACCTTGAAAGGCCTTTTAAGAATGTAGGGAAAGTTTCAACGTTTCTTCAAAGTCGATTGAGGAATTATTGACGGTTAATAATAACCCCAGAAAACACCCGTTTAAGTATAATAATCATTACATTTTTCTTCATAATTTTAGAAGAATAAATTACTCCTGGAACAGGATGAAAAATACATTCCAGCTGTTACCTTTCACTTAAGCCACTCCAAAACATGCATATCTTCTCTCCTTCGTGAATCTATGCTCGGAATATAAACACTGAAATCATATACTCGGAATAAATATCACAACGTAAAACAATTGAACTGATTTTGATCCTGTTCTTACCTTCAGATTTCTGAACCTTAAGATGATATTCTCTTGTAATTTTTCTGGATTTGGATCTAAAGCCACGGCCGTTATCCCGGAGTCTAAATACCTCAGGAGGAAATAGATTATCAGTATGAAACAGATTAATCTAAGGCATAGTAGTAACTCTCATTAAAATAGCAAGCTAGGAGCCCGCTATTATCAACACGGAAAATCATTAATTCACATGACTAATTATTTCTCAATAGGGTTTTGAAAATTTTAGGACCTTATAGGTTCAACCTTTTGTGTATTTTCGATTGAAGGGGCATTTGGTTAAGAAACTTTAGGAGGTAACCTCACCTTGTGGTGCCCGTTATAGTTCTGTTGGGTTTATCTGTAATCAATACTTCATGGAGATCCTTGTACACGATCCCAACAACCACTGACACTAAAAAGTAAAAAAAAAAAAAAACAGGCTACAACATGATAATATGAAATCCAAGTAGCCAATGCGGATATTTGAATCAAACAGATTATGTAAACCAACAAACAAACTTTTATGTATTTGTCGATGTATTTAAAAACTGCAAAATCTTGGAGAGCAATTTGTGCTTTGTCCTAGTGCATCAGAGATTTAAAACTGAAGTCAATACAAACCGTTGCTGGCAAAGTTTTTAGAGGATACTTCCAGGCTTGTTTGCAGTTCTTTTTTTCCAAGATAAAAGTCACTAGCATTTTTGCGGTAGGCTTTTTGTATAGCCAACACTGGAGAAAAAAAATAGAGACGAAATTAAGAGTCACACATTTTCGAAGAAATATATGTTTTTTTTATGTTGGTCCGAAAGTAAGTCATAATCCTAATATGATAATTATACTTGCTTGAAAGCTATTTATTCTTTACATAGTCTTCTAAGAGGTGAGGTTTGAACGCTTTTCAACGTTCTAATCGCCAAAAAGATTGTCCATTATCACTATGATTGATAAAAATAAATGGTCTATGGGAGGGAGGAACCGGCTTGATCTGGCTACAGCACCTATCAACACGTCCCATGCAAAAAAAAATTAAATCATGAAAGCAGCCGTTATGTCATCGGTCAATGTGTCGGTCACTAAACAAGTAATGGATTATTTCAAATCCGAACGAATAATCATGCTCTGACTCACCTAGTTTTCGGCTGTTTATCTCCACTGAAGAATTTTCCCCAGTCATTTGGTGTTTGCCATAATTAAGGGCGAATACCTCCAAGGCGACTGCCACCTTAAAGATGGAATTTCTTATTATTTTGAATTCTTCTTCGGCAAGAGGTTTTTGGAGGATTTGGAGCCTGGTGATGAAGTCTTCAAAAATCCATACAGCCTCCTGTAATCACATAACGTATTTCTGTTAAAGTAAGATGCTAAAAATTTGGATCCATGTGAGTCAAACACGATATTTGAGTGTCTTATAAGTATTGAGCCACAGAACCCTTGATCGTGGTCGAACATTTGAACAAAACAGTTTGAGGTAACGGAAACGCATTGAGCATGCTAGAAAGGCCCATATTTCGTCTACTCCTACTTAGATTACGAAAAAAAATTGAGAAAGAAATGAATTAGACCAAAAATAGGTAAAAGAAATAAATTCAGCAAAATGGCCAAATGGTGAATAGGATGTACATGTGCTAAAGAAGTGTCCAAAAATTGGTCCAAGAAATCGGAATTATCTTTTTCGGGAATCACTTTTTTTTTTCACTCATGCCAGTTCATATCTTAGAAATGGAAATAGTATAGATAGTTACGATGATACTGTCATAATAACTATAATAACGACGATGATAATGATGACGATGACGATAATGGTACAGTCTTGTTTGCTCTTGTTCGAATGAACTCAAAGTTTTTTCAAGCTTAGAAACTGATGCAATGCATTGTTCATTCTTTCTAATCACTGTGCATTTCATATAAACTAAGTGGCTTAATCATAAAATATAAGTAGTAAATTCATACCTTCAAAGGCCTGATTCTACTGATTTCTTCGCCTTTTAGTTTGGAAACAGAATCGTTTGCCTGAGATAAAGAAAGACAGTAAAGTTGGCGAGCAACAATGTTGTAAATAAAAAGCTTGAGAGAAATAATTTGCTCACCAGACTCTTAATAATTTCTAATGTCGATGACAGAGGTGTCCGTAGAGACGGAGACGACGATGATCCTGCTGCCGATGTTTCAAATGACGATGATAATAATGGTGATGATGCTGATCCTGCTACTGATGCTGCCTCCGACGATGTTGCTGATGATAATCGTGATGTTGCTTTTGACTTTGATGATGATGGTGACAGTGCTGATGAAGATTCTGATGCCCCTGCTGTTGA